ATCATAATTACTATTAGAGAAACATTTGGTTACCATGTCAGTTCTTGATTGCTTTACGAGCACTTACCAAGGCAAAGACACTTTATTTGATTATTTAGGAAGCTGCAAACCCAAATTTATTCACATGATACTTATCTGAAATGGGCAGCTCTCAACAGTTTTAGAAAGTCTAGTCTGAAAATATAAAAATCTTTTATTGGACCGAGTGCAATATCTGATGCCAGTCCATATTCACTGGTCTGCCATGTGAGGGGATACTCTTTGACTTTGTCCAGCTGTAAAACAGCTATTTAGCTTTATTTTTAAAATCTAAATTTAGAATAGCTACAGGAACTCAATGCAAATGACAGACTTCTAGAGGAAGGAAAGTCCTCGCTGTAGGATATCTTGCATCTGCTGATGGTGATGAATATAGGAAACCCAGATTACAACCTGTAGAAGAACATTAAGAAAAAAAAAAAAAAAAAAAAAAACAACACAACAACCTAAAAAATGTGACCAGTCCTTGCTTGCATCCTTTAGGCCTTCAGTCTGTTTTGGTTCAAGTGGCCAAAGCGAGTCATCCACTGAAACAGCAAGACCAGGGTGTTTTGGTAAATTCGGTTGTTATGGAAGGTTTCAGTCCCTCAGAGGGGAGATCAAGGACCATCATTGGAAAATGTAGGGAGGTGGGGGCTTGTGCCCTCATGCTAGTCTTGAGGGTTCATCTACAGTGGTCAGTTGTGTTCATCTAAACAGCTTTAGAATTTTTTGAGTTTCCTACAGGCCCTTTGTCTCTAGAACCATATTGGCTTGAGGAAGAAATTGTTCCTTTGTTTCCAAAGCTAGTAAAGCTCTGCTGTGTTCTTGCTTCTTCTACTAATGACTGCTAATGACACACTGCTGTAGTGTGGAGAGGAAAATACGGCCTTAATGAGCCCTGATGAATACTTATGTCTTATAAAGGGATATTTTTTGTGGGATGAAGAGTGAAGATCCAGTAATTCGGATGGTTTTTTATGGTGCTTTATATCTTCAAAATACTTGATAAAGTTTATGCTTAGCTGTGGTGCTGTAGTAAATTCCTAGCAAAACCCATTTTCTATCATTATGTTAGCTTATAAATTTCTCTGTAGACTTTATTAGATGAGCTTCATGAGCAATCCATTAAAAACAGGTGCTCTAGAATTTGAAAGTTTTCTGGGTAGTTTTCTGTACATTTCTATGCTTTCCTGAATGAGTGCATAATGGATGTGACTCTTTAGTCACAATTCATTGGCATATTGCTGGAGCTGGTGTTTAGCATGCTGTGCAGGAGGAAAGGCTTACACCTCCTGCGAATACTCAGCTGCTTTCTTTATGTGGGCTCAAATCCCTCGGGTATGACTTATGAGAATAAGTGAACAATTTATGGTTAACTGTGAGCTAACGCACATCATCATAAATTTTAACATAACTGGTTTACTTTTAAAATAATTTCTACCTTTCACTAACATTCTAGGCCTCTTCTCCTGGAGAACTACTTACATTGATCACTTCTGGGGTACATCCCCGTAGTGACAAAGATGTTACTTTTATCTGCAAAACAGAATTGAAAAACATGATGTAGGTTCACATGCATGAGGTGTTGAAGGTTTCTTGCTTTTCTGTTCTGACAAACTGTGCTTTTGTAAATGTGATGAGTTGGACCTGTTGAGAGCACACTTTGCTGACCTCCATTCTTCTTAATGGCCTTTACTGATTTTTTTTTTTTGTTTTGTCTTTTTTTTTTTTTACCCAAGTTGGGAATTTGTGAAATGTACATTGTGCAATCTTAACTTTCAAGTTAGGATTCTGCAACTTCTTCGACAGAACAGAGTGAGGCAGTGAAAGAGGAACTGGCTGTGATTTGTCGTACTGAGTTTGATGTATTGGGGTGGGGGATAGGTAAATGACTTGCAGATATGCTAGCTAGAGTTAAACTTATCATAGTTGTTGATTCTTTCTTTTACCCCTAAATATCAAGGGAAGATAAGGAAGAAAAGACACCGCAGAAGTAGAATTTGTATCAAGATAACTGGAAAATATACATGTACACTGAAGATTACTAATTACTTTAGACACAAGTTAAACAGATTTGCCTCTGAGTTTAGTGTGATGTAATAAGTCAAGTATTCTTGTGATCATGTTTCATATTTCTGCTTGAGTGTCTCTTGCTTCTAAATAAGCTTTGGCTGCAAAAGCACATAATATTCTTACTAATAGATTACTTGGCTTGTAAGGAGGAGATGTTTGGCTTCATTGGTGCAGCAGGGTGTGATTTAGAACTGCTAAAGTGAATACTCAGTAAATTGGGGACATAGATGTGTTGGTTATGCTGCCCTGTCACCTTCTGACAGGCCGCACTGTTTGATTATTAATCACATTTATTATAGTGGTTTCTGATGGTCCCATTGCTTTAGGCATTGTATACACAGGGTCTCTGTGCCTGAGAGGTTTCCATTTCCCGGGCAGGCATGTGATGAGATGTAATGAGCATTATGGCTTGGTTTAACCCAGCCCATCTAGTTTATACCAACTGACGTCATCTATCTGGACTTCGGCAAAGCATCTGACACTGTCCTGCACAACATCCTTGTCTCTAAATTGGAGAGACGTGGATTTGACAGGTGGACTGCTCTGCAGATAAGGAACTGGCTGGATGATCTCACTCAGAGTTGCGGGCAATGGCTCGATGTCCAAGTGGAGAGCAGTCATGAGCGGCGCTCCTCAGGGGTCGGTGTTGGGCCTGGTGCTGCTTAACATCTTTGTTGGTGACATGGACAGTGGGATCGAGTGCACCCTCAGCAAGTTCACCCGTGACACTGAGCTGTGTGGTGCGGGGACACGCTGGAGGGCAGGGATGGCATCCAGAGGGGCCTGGGCAGGCTGGAGAGGTGGGGCTGTGCAAACCTCATGGAGTTCAACAAGGCCAAGTGCAAGGTCCTGCACAGGGGTCAGGGCAATCCCAGGCACAAACCCAGGCTGGGTGAGGAGGGGCTGGAGAGCAGCCCTGAGGAGAAGGACTTGGGGGTGTTGGTGGGGGGAAAACTGCCTGTGAGCCAGCACTGTGCCCAGAAAGCCAACTGTGTCTTGGGCTGCAGCCAGAGCAGGGGGGGGCAGCAGGGCCAGGGAGGGGATTCTCCCCCTCTGCTCCGCTCTGGGGAGACCCCCCTGCAGTGCTGGGGCCAGCTCGGGGGCCCCCAACAGCAGCAGGACATGGACCTGCTCGAGCGGGGCCAGAGGAGGCCACGAAGATGCTGGGGGGGCTGGAGCAGCTCCCCTGGGAGGCCGGGCTGAGAGAGTTGGGGGGGTTCAGCCTGGAGAAGAGAAGGCTCCGGGGAGACCTTATAGTGGCCTTCCAGGGCTTAAAGGGGGGACAGGAAAGGTGGGGGGGGACTCTGGGTCGGGGGGGGAGGGGGTAGGGATAAGATGAGAGGTAACAGTTTTAAACTGCCAGAGGGCAAATTTATATTAGATATAAGAAATTCTTCCCTGTGCGGGGGGTGAGGCGCTGGCCCAGGGTGCCCAGAGCAGCTGTGGCTGCCCCCTCCCTGGAAGGGTTCAAGGCCAGGTTGGACGGGGCTGGGAGCCCCCTGGGCTGGGGGAAGCGGGCCCTGCCCAGGGCAGGGGGGGTGGAACTAGATGATCTTTAAGGTCCCTGCCAACCTAAACTGTTGTATGATCTCCCCATGCCTAACTTGGATGTCGTTAAGAGACTGAAACTTCAAAGTTCAATGTGTAGTTGGTGGAGAGAAGAAGAGGCTCCTTCATGGCATAAATCATTTTGCTCTAAGAGCAAAATCATCTTCCATGGGTACTTCTGTTTTCATCAAGTCTCCAGTTAGTATGGGGCAACAAGGCTCTTAATTTAGTTGCTTGAACTGGGATGAGCCCTGTTAAGAATGAACTTTATATGGCAGTAAGCAGTGAGTTCCCTTATTTTTAATGAATTTGCTTAATATAGAAAAAATAAGAAGGGGGAAGAAGGCAGAATAAAGTGTATTGAAATGGTGTGGAGGAGCAAAGGGAGGGAGAAATTAAGGTAAAGGAACGTGGCTGGGGAAAAAAAATCAGGTTGAAATTCTAAAAAGGCCTCCAAATATTTGGGGGTTTTCACTTCTGTTTTCTGAGGCACCTCTACTGGCTTCTCTTCTCTGCTGAATTGGGTATTTATGGTCCCCAATAGCTGAGTTTCTAAGCATGGTTTATTCTTTCCTTTATTTACAAGCAGAGCACACTTCAGTAGAGGGCTGACTTCTTCCCATATTTAGATGTGAAGCTGAAGCACAAGGTCTAGGTTGAGTTTCTACTTTCCTCAAAGAAAAAGATTAATGACAGAGGATAAGTACTATTCTATGTGTAGAAGGGAAAAAACAGACTTTGATTCAGAGGTGCTAATGCAGTTACCCTTGTTCTGTGACTTCCTTCTGTTATGGCAGTAGGAGTGCTCTGTCATTACACCTAGAGATGGGGGAAAGCTACCAAAAGCTAGAAAGTTGCGTTTGAAATTTGTTGTGTGTGATTGTTTACCTGAATGTAAGTGACTCTGATATGCCTTGGCTACAAATCTTTAGAAATAGTCATTAAAGCAGAGCTTGTGCTACTGCCTGCTCCAGAAACTGGGCTTGAAGTAGTCTTCAGATGGAATGCAACTATTTGGCCTCCCTTCCTTATAGCTGACAGATTTGATAGCTATTTCTGAATCCAAATAGATTGAAATGTAAAATGATATAATATCACTTTCAGATATTTTGCTAAGGTCTCTTACTGCAATCGGAATCTATGTTGTCTGAGGTAGGGGACAAATTTGTTGCTATCTATCTGGTGGAGCTGTTCCTGTTTCTTGTGACTAATGAGAAGGCACGTGCTTCCCCATTTAATGGCAGCATCCTCTGGAAAAGTTGTGCAGAACATGTGTAACCATGTGCTTGATAATATGTGTGTAATCCAGATCCCCATTTGACAGTGTTAATCCAAGAAAATTTTATATTGAGCAAAACTTGAATGGAAGTTTTTTAATGAGAAAAGTGAGCAGTGTCAAGGACTAGTGCTTGGAATGTATCATGATACATAAAAGTGATGTAACCCAGGTAAAACATGAGTTATACCTGTACAGTGCTTTGGAAACAGCTAAAATTAATAGAATCAGTAGAAAATTAGTCCACACAGACAAACATGCTCAAGGTACTACAGAGTCAGAAGATGGCAGTAATGACACTAACATCCATTTTCTTTGTTCTTTACCTTGAAAATAAGTTACACCTAGCACCGTTAGAATTATGAACTTTCTAAAATAGTAAAAGCTGAGAGTGATCTGGAAAATATTGAATAAAAATAAAAGGTTGGCTAAGCAAATGTCCCCCTACCCACTTTCTTCCTTCAGTGTCAGCCTTGTCCTTCATGTTTGTTTTCATCAACCAAACCAGTGGTTTCTTGCAAACGCTGCAGCATCTATTCTGGATGCTCAGAAAAGCCTCTCGTTAGTCCCTCCAAGGCCTGGCTGTGTATCTGCTCCTGCTCTTCTTTGCAGTCTCCCTGGCCACGCTGCTGATGTGGGCTCCCTTTTGGCTGGGTTTGATGTTTCTGTCCCTGTCATCTCAACCTGCACACAAGGAGCTTTCTCCACTGAGTATGTTCAGGTGTTTTCCAAAGGGAATATTTCCTCTCCCAGTATACGGTTTCATCCATCTCGAGTCAGCAGCCAGCATGAAGAGCCAGGTGTTGCCTCTTCTGCTGTTCAGCCTTTTAAAAGCAGCAAAATGTATAGTGAGGTACAGATAAGCAAACTAACTATTACGTATTACAGCTGTCTCTGCAGTTTCATTAATTTTTATAAATTGAGCTGCAACCATGAAAAACTGTTTTATTTTAGAAAGGATCTTATCAGAGTACTCTGACTCTTATTGTATTATATAGGAAGATGAAGAGTTCAAAATTCACTGCTAATGGAGAAGAAGTGTTGGGCTGTTTGACATTTTCAGACTATTTCAATGTTGCCATCTTGCTGTACCTTTCTACCTGCTTGTGTCTGATGGTATTAATATATTGTTTTTCCATGATACAGCATCAAGATAAACTTGTAGATCCAGGCCATTTTGGCATTTCCTGGAAAGTATCATTGTGTTCATGTATAAATGTGAACTTTGTATTATTACATAGTTGATGGCTGGTAGTGAGGTTTTTTTATCTTCAGAAAGGAAGAAACTTGCTAATGAGAATGATGCATAGAGATCAATGCCAGTGTCTGACATCAATTAATGATTTAATCCTGTAACCAGATTTAAAAAAGCAGCTGGTATCTGCATTTGCACACATTGTTATCTTTGAATGTGCTAATAACTTGGTGGGAGTAGAAAAACAGACAAGGTACCACTCAAAGGGTTCAGGCAACTGGGCAGAGGTCTTCTCCCTGGTATTCAATGAGTTGGCCTACTATTAACTCCTCAGTATTTACGGTGATATGTAACTGCAGCATTGGTTTCCTTTTTCTGCACGTGTACATATGTAAATATGGATAAGCCCATATGGAGAATTGAAACTGATGCTGGAGACACAGTTTTAGGTTTAATAATAAAAATTGAAATCAGGAAGACAGATGGGTGAAGTTGCAAGTGATATCGGGAGAATGGCACAAGGTGTTAAATTTCCTTTCTTTAACCCCTCCTTCTGCCTACCCGTGACAACAAAAACTTAACAGATCATGTTCTAGACACAAACTTACATTGCACAATATAAGGAAGTGGAACCTTTTTAATATTTCCTTTGAACTTGACCTACAACTTTCACCCATGAATCTTGCTCACTAAATTGTAGGGAAGATACTGCATAATAGGTAGTTCTGTAATGAAAGCTGCCAACTGTGTGTGTATTTATTTGTAAGTATGTACATACTGCTTGCTCTGGGGGAGAAAAAATAGTTTACTGTTTTGGACCAGACTGATCTTGATGTGTACTGAGCTTCTCCAAGATGATGTTCTCTTTATGCACCCACTGGGTGTGTGATGGTGAGTACCTGGAATGAAGTTTCTCCTGTATCTCCAGGAAACTGCCTATATCCAGACAGTTGAGTGGCAGTTGTGTTTCAGTGACCTGTGTACTACCAAAGAAGCCCACAGAACTGAAAAAAGATGGTTTCCTATCCTTTACAAAAAGCACATCGTTTGTGGAGTATTCATCTTATGTTTAGGAAGAGGAGAATTGCATTGTCTTTTGGGGACGGAGGTAGCCTGGCTACTGACTGTGAACTGGCTTTCTGCGGGAGGTACGAGAGATGTTGTGTACACTATAGGGGATTGGATGAGTTTCTCATGTTTCTATTCTAAACTGGTAGCAGGCTTGGATATTTACAGACTCAGTTGTTTGTTAAATACTTCAAAAACATATGTATTGATTCAAGTCCATGAGCTGATTTTTTTTTTTTTTTTTAATAGGTTTTCTTGGTTAAATGCATTTAGTGTCATAATATGACAGTGCCTTCAGTTGCTTAGCACTTTGTTTTCCAGGGGCAAGCTGTATCATTTGTGGGTGACTAAAATTAAGAATTAAATTTTCTCCTCTCATCTGACACAGTGAGGGAACAGTTTTATGGAGTCAAGAAGCCTCGAGCGACAGGCTCAAGAAAACTTCAGAACTTATGTTAATGTTTTCTTTTTTTAAGCCTCTTGAGACCTTGCTTGAGTTATTTGTAACAGAAAAATAAGCTATGATGATATACACAAGGATGGGATCAGACTTGGAACTTTTCTTTTGCCACTTTTATAAAATAATGTTGTATAGGACACATTAGCTCAGAAGGGTAGAGATTTAGCAAGACCATTTTGTAGGGGTTTTAGTTCTTTGTGCTTGCTCAAAGGTCACAGATTATTGTTGTGGTATAAGCCCCACACAGCCACTTGCTCACCCCCCCCCCCCGAAGGGATGGGGGAGAGAACTGGAAGGGTAAAAGTGAGAAAACTTGTGGGCTGAAATAAAGACAGCTTAAGTAAAGCAAAAGCCGCACACAGACAAGCAAAGCAAAACAAGGAATTCCTTCACTGCTTCCCGTTGTTTGGCAGGTGCTCAGCCTTCTCCAGGACAGCAGGGCTCTATCGTGTGTAAGGGTGACTTGGGAAGACAACTGACACTCCGAACATCCCCCCCTTCTTCCTCCTCCCACCAGATTTATACACTGAGCATTATGCCATATGGTATGGAATATACCTTGGGGTCAGCTGTCCCAGCTGTGTCCCCTCTGAACTTCTTGTGCACCCCCAGCCTGTTTGCTGGTGGGGTGGTGGGAGAGGCAGAAAAGGCCTTGACTCTGTGTAAGCCCTGCTCTGCAATAATGAGAACACCCCTGAATTATCAACACTTCCCAGCACAAATCCAAAACAGCCCCATACTAGCTACTGTGAAGAAAATGAACTTTACCCCGGCCAAACCCACCACAATTATATAAAAGCATATACAGTCATGGGGGTTATTTCTTGGGTAGCGTCAGAGTTTTGGAGCACAGCTTGTTCCTGCCTTGCTTGATGGTTTATCACTGAACCATTGTTATGGCCCTGTTTGAATTTCAGGGGTTTCCTTGGAAGTGAACTAGTTATACTAATGGTATGTCTGTTTATTTTTAAATCATACAGCATATTTTCTCATTGTCCTTCTTCAGTGATACTAGGGTTTTTTTATGGTTGGATTTCATCCCACCACTACATGTCCAGTCCTCAAAGACACTGGTGTCTGGAAGACTATTTCAATCCTCTTATGTTAAAAATACTATTGACTTTGTCATCAGTATATTCCATTAGAAGCCAACCAGTGGTATTAATGTAAAAATTAAACTTTAACAAGGCTCTAAAAGTACCTATTAACCTCGTGTCCTTGTGATCTCTGCTTGCAGCCCTGTCTTGTTGCCTTTCTCTTTTAGGACAGTTCCTTGCTCTGTGTGTTTTATGTAATATTGCCTATTTTCCTATGTGCCATTCAGTTGGATGTTCTAGTAAAACACTGACAGACGTGATCTCACCATATTTGTTTCCTTTAGAAAATTACCTGTGTGTTGTGGGGGGTTTGGCTTGTGGTGGTGGTTTAGGGTTTTTTTGTTCTTTTTTAATTGAATCCGCCCAATTTTCATCTCAATATCCATGTTGTATTTTAAACTACTTTTTTTTTTGTGTAGCTCTACAACTTTATTCCTGCATAGTTTCTTCTACCAATGGTCTTGTACACTGTGGGAAGATAATTGGCTCCAGAGTTGATACTGTGTTTGGTGTTCAACTGTTAGCTTATTACCAGCTCAGTGTTGTCATTAAGTGAAATATTTCCTTCAGGGTTTGGGGTTTTTTGTGCTAATATCTTCCTAAATTTAGTTTATCCTGTCCTTACTGCTGTCATCCGACATCTTACTTTTGGTTTTCCTTTCTCACTAGAAAATGGTTTTGAGTTCAGATAATCCTTCGTAAGGTTTTAGCTGATTTAGATCAGCCTAAAGCTTGGCTTTACAGTATTTGGTGTCTAGGACACAGTTGTCTCTTCTGATTGGTCATTTTTCCAGAATCTTGTAGATCATGTGTTTCTGATCTCTCTCTGCTGTATCCAGCTAGAAGTAAGGATCTTCTCTTCTACCCTTCTTCACTTTGCTTACAATGTAATTTTTTTTTCTCCTTAGGTTGATGCTTTTCCTTGGAAGAAGTAAGAAAAAACTTTTTTGCTTTCTACTCCCTAAGGTCCTTGAACCTCAGTAAATCACTTAGTTTACCAAATTTTTGTCATTCTGAACAAAATTTCCAGACTTGCCTTTGTTTCTTCCATTTTATTTAGTTTATATGGAAACTACTAGTGATTACTTGATTTAGGGTTGTATTTTACAGCCTGTTTTTTGCTACTGTTTTCTTCACTTCTTACTAGCACCATCTCTGTGTTTCAAGACTCTCTGTTCTTACTGTCCAAGCGATTTGCATTGATACAAGAATTATTCCAGCAGTTTCTGACTATGCCTGCTGTGCCGGTTGGATCCCTTCTACTACCTAGCAGACTACTTAGTGATGTTTTCTTTCTCCTTGCTGGTCTGTTCTCTGTTCTCCCTTTATCTCCAAGTGTGTACTTGTTTGTGATTGTCCTTACACTCCAAAAGATAGCGGAGTGCCATAGTTTCTGAAGTGATGCTGACACCTAAAGAAAGGTAGACACTTCATGGATTTGAGGGTTTTATTGGACTCGGGGGGGGGGGGGGGGGGGGGGGGGGAAGTGTTTTTGAGTGAGATATAGTGGATGTCTCATGCTCAGCTCTGGATAGGGATGCTGGGTACTATTTAGGGGGGTGTATCAGCTGCAAACTGACATAGTCTCTTTTGGCTAGCAGGGTAGTGCTCTCACTTGAACCGGTTGCAATGGGGAGTCCTTCAAGGGTGACTTCCAAATGTCAAGCTTGGTCCTGTGGTGCTGAAACAACTAGCCTCCTCACCTGACGAACACCACTGCCTCTTTGGTCTCTCTTACTCCGGGAACGCGAGGTGGTTGAGGGTAGCTAGATCCGCGCTCTGCGCTGGGGGGGCAAGCATCCCCCCTCCCACCCAGCCGCTCGCCGTGGGCACGCTGCCCCGAGTGGGGCCCTGGCACCGGGCGGGGGGCCGCTGCGCGCCCGGCCGCCCTCACCGGGCCCGGGCAACGAAGGAAATCACCTTCGTGCTTCGCGCGTGACTTTTTATGCCTCTGGAGCTCTCGAGCATTTCACGCGAAATGCAACCTATGAAGTTTAAAATGCAAACTGATGTTAAGGGGGTGGTAGTTCTCCCGGGCCGCTGAGGCGGGCTCGGAGGCACCTTCCCCCCCCCCCCCCCCCGGGCCGCGCCGGGGCGGCCACCGCGGCGCAACAGCCCCCCCCGCGGGCCGGGCCCGGCGGCGGCGCCTCGCCGGGGGGGGGGGGGGGGGGGTTGGCTGGCAGAGGGAGCGGTGTTGCATTTAATGAGGAAACAGTGCCGCTACCCCTCAAGTACCGTGAGGAAAAGCGTGCCCAGCCCCGCTGGAGTTCCTGAGAGTTCCTGTCTGAGAGAAGCCCCTGCGGTGCTGGTGGGTAACCACGTGCTGTATCCGGGTGGTCATCGCTTTCCTTTGCCCGTGCAAATTCGAGCTCAGGCGCTTGATCGATACGTGTCTCCCGTTTTTATTTATTTTTCCTTATAAAGTATGCTTTTTTTTTTTTTTTTTTTTTTTTTTTTTTTGCTAAAGAAGTTGCTAGCCGAAAGCAATTTTTAGAATTTTGTTCAAGATTGTGTCTCTGCCTGCGCATAAACCCTGGGAGCGCGGCAGTACCCGCTGCGATTAGGTCTTTAGCAGTTCACTCTCTCGAAAGTAAAGTGAATAATCCCGAAAAATCACCGTTTTCGGTTTCAACCGCCTGTCAGCTGCCCGAACAAAGGACCCTCCGCCGCTGGGCCGCCCGGCTCCGGCGGAGGGTGGGCCGCTCCCCGTCCCCGCTCCCGGCCGCGGTGCCCGCCCCCCCCCACCCCCCTCCCCCCCACGTACATGCGATACCCTGCACTTACTCTCCATCCCCGCGGGAAAGAGGGCAGGCGCAGGAACCCCAGATTTGCTGGCAAGATGCTGCACTTCAGCCGCTACCCATAGGCGATTTATTTGCGTGTGCGTGTGTGTGTGTGCGCGCAGCTGGGCTTGAACAAGGAATAAAAAAAGCCCAACCACCGCCGCCCGCCCGCCCAGCGCTGAGGAGGAAGCGTCTCGCTCCGTGGGAGGGGGCCGGGGGGCTGCTGCCCCCCGCGGCGGGGCAGCGGGGCCGGCTCTGCGCGGGCGCGGCCGGCGCTGGGCGGGGGGCCGCCCGCCTGCCTCCCGCCCGCCCCCCCGCCCGCTCCCCGCGCCGCCCGCCGCCACTTCGGCGGCTCCTCCGAGCAGCACCGCGGCTCCGGCTGCCGGGGCGGCCGCCGCGCCCGAGCCGCCAATGCGGGGGATATCTGCGGGGAGGCAGCGGCACCGCGGCGGCGGGGAGGGCAGGTGAACTCCGGGGAAGGATGACCGGCGTCGCCGCGATCGTCTTTCTCCTGCAGCTCTTGCCCAAGGCGGGGGGACAGGTCTTCGCAGGTGAGTTGCAGCCCCGCCGCTCGCCCCTGCCCGGCTCTCCCCGGGGCATCCCTGAACTCCCCGCCTCGCCCCCTTCCTCCAGCCCCTCGGGCCTCGCAGGGAGCTCCCAACGCAAGCCCCGGAGCGGGCGGGGATGGAGACGTCCCTCGGAAGGCGGCTGCTCGCCGGGGGAAGGAAAGGAGCAGTCTTCGGAAAAAGTCGGTCGCTGAAGCCGGGCGAGCCCGGTGCCGCGCAGGGCTGCGGAGGCTGCGCCGCGGGCGGAGGGTGTCCGTGTTTGGGACCGGGGAGGCTCGCTCCTCGGGAAGTTGCGTGTGCTGGGAGATGAAAGCCTCGCCTTTAGTCTCGGATCCGCGACGCTTGAGTCCTTGTTGTAGGAGACGGGCTTTCCGAGGCAGGGGCTGGCTCCCGAGGGTCGCTGCCTTTTCCTCCAGCCGGCCGAGGGGGGCTGGGGGGTGGTTCGCAGAAGTTTAGTGGCAGCTTTTTCTCCCCTTGTATCTCAAGTAACTTTCTCGGGGGGTGGGGGGGGGCCTCAGCTACTCGGACCGGCTCCCTCCCAGTTGTCACTTTCTCTGTCACTCTCATGTTAAGGAATACTTTGCTCCCTGGCATGTGTACATTAATAGTAGCCAGCTATTTCCCCCCTCCTACAAGTTCCTTTAAGCATAGTTTGAATTACTTAAAGATGACAGGTGCTTGCAGAGCTAGTTTTCTCCTCTTGTGCTATTGTGTAGGTAAACCGATAATACGTGTGGTCTTGTTTTTCTCCTGAATCTTGTAATATGACATTAATTTTCTCACTGTATTTTTTTCTATATTAAAAAAAATAGAGTTGTAATTTTCTTCTCTCCGGACTTCATCTGTCTAGCTAAGTATTGGTGTTTTTTTTTGTGTGTGTTTTTTTTTTTTTTTTTTTTCCCAATATGTGTAAGACAAGTAAAAATTCCATGTGCAACATTGCTTAGTGCAGGGATAAATCTCAGTGCTTGTGACTTGGCTTCATACCCCCAACATGTCTAACTTGAGTTCATCTCAAACAGTGGAAGATTTTTCGTAGTTAAGACTGAGAGTTCGAATGACTTTGTCTCGATTCTTTGAAACAGAAACTGTGCAGAGGGCAGGAGATGCCGAGCACTGTGCGTACCTGGAAGCGGTGGTGGCTCGGTGCGGGAATGCGGCCGGACAGACAGACATGGCTGGACAGACGCGATCAGACACTGCCACAGTGGCTTCTTGACATTGCTGGGCAAGCATGCACAGCTGCGGATTTGTTGGAAAGGCTGGAATATCCAACCTAGTTAAATAGCTTCTTCGTTGAGTAAGCAATATAGGGAGCTGTGTGTTTTTTTCTTTTTCTCTCTTTTCCAACTGTGTTTCTGTGTTCTCGAAGCTTGTCATATCAATTGAGAGAAGATCCTTGGCTTTTGATGAATCATTTAGTCAGATGCTTAGAAAGAGTGTTCTGTGAAGATGGCAAACTTTTAAGGGAGCAGAAAACACTTTGTATTTGAGGGAAATAGGAATGTAACACGAGCTACCTGCATGCAAACTTAGTGTCTGGCTAAGCCCTATTTTCAGAAAGCCATGAAATGCTTTGTTTTCATTACCAGTTTAGTGCGAACAGTGACTGGGGGGTTTCCTAATCGTTAGTATCACCATCTGCCTCATATTTTAGTGCACTCTCCCTCACTATTCAAAATAAGAGGAGCTGATTTTAATAAGTAATATTTTCTGAGCTGCTTCCATTAATGAAGTTAAAAGAAGGTTTTCTCCTCTTAGGTTATCTATCTGGTGTGAAATGTAGTGGTCTGGACTCTGTCCATATAGCTGATATTTTCGTGGTAAAAAAAGTTTCCCAGATGCACTTTGTCTCTAAAATGTCAGTGAAGTTTGGAGAGGCTCCAGTTAACGCCTTTGGTGTATTTTCGCATCTTCCATCAGGTGGTGCTCTCTCCATAACTATTAGGATGCAAATCCTGCCTGTCGCTTCCCAATTGAATTATTTTTCAAAGCCTAATGCTTTTATTTAGCAGCCTTTTGTTAAACGTCCCGAAAAATCTCTGCGCAAGGACCTGGATGGGGTTTTCGATTTATTTTGTTATAGATAGTTGGGCCAAGAAGTAGGAAAGACACAAGTCCAGACGACATGTTATTCAATTCCTACCCAACTTGCACAGCTGCTGCTGCTTCTTTCATCTTACCCACAACGTAGAAAATTAGGAATACTACAGAGCCACAGTAGCATGCTGATGGCTTCTTCCTGGAATACTTAGTTTCATATTGAGGGAGCTGGTTAACACTTACAGCAACACAGAAATTAAATAAAGTATCTATAACTTGTCTCCCCACCAATTACTCTGTTGCCTGCAGTCTCTCTATTTATTCATAACTGGAGGTATGGTTTTGAGGTTCTAAACTTTTTGTCAGGTTTGGGGTCAGCTGATAATTTACTACTTTTCCCATAAAAGGGGACAGAAGTAACAGCAGATAATTCTAGTAATTGACAATTCTTTCTAGGCTTTTAGAAATGAAGGACTTCTGATTACAGGGAAGTTTTTTTCCTTAAAGCACATATGTAGTTTTTCTCCCCTCAAATATGTGGAACATTCTTGCAGTTGCTGTGCGTTTTGCTATGGTCTGTTTTGTGTGCATTTTCGGCACAATAGAGCACAAAATAGAGAGATTAAAGTCATTTGCAGCTGTGAAAAAGCATTCAGGGGGAAAGTAGGACAGTGGGTTTACATTGGGACTGTTCACCTGAACACTGGATTACTTTAACACTTGTTTTTCTTCTGATGTCAGTGTTTGCTTTAATTTTTTCCCTATTCTGCTCCTTGTTTCGCTATGGCAGAGCTCCTGGATGGGTGGACGTGTAGCTGGCTGCTCTGACAGACTGCTGCCACATCATAAAGTTCCCGCAGCTGATTGTTCATTACACGTGGCTTGTCCAGGGAAGATGAAAGGGGAGCAAGGGAGCAAACTGCAAGGAATTTTTGGGGGAAGATTAATTCATTGACTAGGAGTTCATTTACTCACAGATTTTGCTGTCAGTAAATTGGCAATGAAAAACGGATCTTTCTGAGCAAGCTACTCTGTGTGGCAATTGTTAACAATGGAGCCATTTAACTCAATAATCACTTTTCACTCCCTCTGGGGAGCTGTTAGCACTACAATTCAACTTTATTTTTCATTCCTGACTGACTTGATTTGTTTTCCAATACATAAACAATTAATATTTAAAAGGTGGTGATGTGAAACTGCCTATTTCAACAGTGGCAATGAAAGGTCACTGTGTGAATAAAGGCATTTGTGAATCTGAGTGATAATCCTTCTCTCTTACGAATGCAGAGCCTTTTTTTCACCATCCATCCTTCTGAAAGTCCCTCGGCTCTTTCCTTGTTTAATTGTACTTTTTTAGTTTCTTATGCTCTGTGTTCAGGCCCACGTGCTCTAGTTCTCATTAATATTATGGGAATGATTTGGGACACTTACTGTAGAATATTATAGTATTTTTTTTAGAAGGCACCATTATCTGTTACCATGGAAACCGGAATAGTGGTAAAGATGTAGGTCTGAGGCGTTGTGAACCTTGAAAGATCTGGACAAGGGTTGTTTCTTACGGGAACAATTACTTTTGTATATAAAATCCAGTTAAGTGGATAGAAGAAAGGGAAATAAATTGATCTGTTCAGTATTGCACTGACAATCCTTCTTTTGAAAAACATTCAGCATAGAAGGATCAGTGTCTCTCTGACTCTCCCTTTGTATGTGTATGGGGGGTTTTTAAAGCTCATTATTTATCATAATAGTTGTTTCATGTCTCTGATAATTTTCATTGTAATTTTTATAAATGAGATAAACGAATGTGTATTGGCAGATACTGTTCTTTGCTTGAATGAAAAGTGCTGAATGTAGAATAGAGAGGTGTGCAACGCTAGCACTGGAGCTTAAATATTTTGGCAATGAGCAAATTTGAGACTGCCTTAACATGGCCCTAATTAAAAAAAAAAAAAGAAAAGAAAAAATAGCAGATGTCTTCTGAAAATCCACCTACCAAAATCTGTTTGAGGTATATATATGGGTTTGCTCGGTAATGTAAGCAATAAGAGCAATAATATGTAACTGTTTTGCCACAGAAATACTGAAGCCTACTTAACATTCAGAAAAACTCTTATGATGTTTGGGTGACGAGCAGCAGGAGTGCGTGTGTGTATTGCTATATAAAGCCTATGTCCTTTAGAGAGAGATTTCTTAATTTTTTTTATGGAAACTGATTCAGTCTGTTTCCTCGGTGTCTTGTAATGCATAGATAAAGTATGTAATGAAGCTTCTAAAATGTGCTTGTAGGTACATTCATAGAGGGGGTTTTTCTTGCAGAAATTTTAAACAGCAGCAGCACATCGAGGTCACCTGCTGTTATAAAATGACCCAAGTTGTAGACCGGGTTTCCCACTGTGATGTGGGAAACCTCCCGTGCCTCCTGTTGCCTCAGTACCAGAGGGCTCCACTTCCACAAAGAACAGCTTGTGGGTTGACATTTCTTGGCTCTGTGTTGTCATTCTTGAGAAGAATACGATACACTTGGCTTTTATGGTATTTCTTGAACATCTTTTGAAGCAGTATTACTTGGCTCATTTTAGCTAGTGTATTTGGCCAAGAATCACTCTTTTCCTGGTACCACTCACATTTCCTAGTTCTCTAATTTTTTTTTTTTTCTGATGGTGCTCTCCCTGTTTATGCTGGCTAGCACTACTTGGATACCAGTTTGTTTAGATGATATATGCTTTTTCAGGGAAATCCTTACCCACCTCAACCTATTACCTTCCTGGCCCTGTGTTGCCTCTTACTTTTGAAGGCCACTTGCCTCCCACCACCCTGCTCTTGCCAGGTTAACCCAGAGGAAAAGAGCAACCCTATGCACCCCAAAGCAGACGCACAAAGAAGGTGAATGTTGCTGATGGCATCGGTAAGGACTTCTTACAACCTGGCCCTATCCTTCTATA